GGGGGGGGGGGGTGAGGCTTGAGTAGAGAGGGCATGTAGGCAGCAGTTGAGGGTCACTGGATGGGGCCCCCAAATGCCACCCTAGTCACTAGTGCGAGTACCCTGTTTAAAAGGAAACCACTGTCTTCCTGAGAGGGGTCTGGGGCCTGGCAGTTGAAACTTTCCCTGGATTTATTTAAGGAACCGACTTTTGCTTCTTTGGTGCGCATCCAACCAAACTTCCCTCTGCTGCAGAGAGGCCTTTCTTTTTGTCGTAAAGGGGTTTTCGCTTTAATTAAAGCTGAATTATCTTTAATCCCTGATCATTAAAATATTTGAAAGCCTTAAATATTTGCCAGTCATCTGTGAAAAATCTGGGAGGATTTCCAAATTGGGAGAGTTTACAGAGGCCCGAAAGGGAGTCGCTGGGAACAAATTTCAGTGCATCTGCAAGGCAGGGGAGGTAAGGTGGGATTTTTGTGTGTAGGTTTCCAGGAAGTGAGACACTCAGATTTTGGGGGGGCTTTTAGCTTTGTATTAAAAACAAAAGGGGACAGGCTCTTGCCTTTGTCTCTTCCGCTCAGTTTGAGGGTTTAAAGTAATGAGTAAATGTCACGGTTTTAAAACATAGCTCCCTAATGTGACTCGGGATTCACCGGCAAGGACAGTTCAATTTCTCCTCAACTGAGGCGGTCAAGCTGCAATGGTTTCATTGAAGGGTGGGCATATTAGCACCTGCTGTTCAGGGAGGGAGCTGGCACAGGGAGAGGAAAAGCACGCTGGAGAAAGGTGAAGGAAGAAGGGAGGCCAAGCCTCCCAGGGCCCCTGCAGGATGGAGGCACAGCCAGTTCAGGGGCTGCCTTCATACCTGAGGCCACCTCTGCCCCCCCCCCTCCTTCCTCCCTCTTTACTTGTTCAGATCTTTGGTTTGTCCTCAAGGTTGTGAGCTTCTTAAGTGTCTGTGACTTCTCCGTGACCACAGGGCCAGCACAGTGCCCAGCATATGGTGGGTGCTTAATGCCGGGCTAGGATGTAATCAGAGGGGGGTGGGGTGCTAAGCAGGGTCCCCAGCTGTGTTGAGAGCAGCAGTCTAAGGGCTGACTATCCCTGTCTTTAGCGCTCCGACTGCGGATACTGGATCTGAAGACCATAGCTGATATTTGGGGGGACGGAGTGGGACATGCAGAGAAACAGAGGGGCCAGGGGCCAGTGTTTCTCTTTTCTTGGTTACTGGCAATTATCTCCTATTTCTGGGGAAATTGGGGCCTCAGATATGTATGTAAATGAATATTTTGTGGGAAGGGGCCAGGGGTACTTACATTTTTGTTCTTCCTCCTCCTCCCCCCCCCCCAAATCCCAGCCTTACACACACTTGGCCTGCTCTGCTCAGGTGCTGGGAGGCTCTTTTCTCAGCTCTCCTGGAGGTGTCGCTCCCACCCTTATTGACCTAAAACTGCTTTCCCCCATCTGAAGTTGCATCTATCCCCCCATTTCCCTTCATAAATATGACACTGAAGCCACCAGTTTGGCAAAAGTTCTTTCCAGATACTCCCCTAAGCTAGACCAGTCCTCTCTGTTGTTTCCGAGGGTGGTAGTTTGTGGTGAAAACTGAACTATACACCCTTTCTTGTGCTTTTCTCAAATCAATAACGGAAGTTTGATCGTTGAGACGAGACTTCACCCTGGCACTCGCTTCCCATGTGTGAAGGAAAAAATACGTGAATTCATTGAGCCCGCCTTAGGGTAGTGTCAGAACTAACTCCATAAAGGAAACGTAGATATAAGAAACTTAAACTATTGCGATCATCAAAAGCCATTTCTAAGAAACATCAGAAATCCTAAATGGATATCCATGAAATGAAATGAAAATCGTATCAAAGCAGCAACCAAAATACGCTGGGGTAAAATAAGCTCACACGTTCGTGCTGGTTAGGGTAACCAGCAATTGTTGGAAAGAGCTGCATTTTAGCATCCAGTGGTGCCAGTTACCCTGCTGAAGAGTATTTTGTAGTCGAGACAGAGGGTCGGTAAGGCACAGAAAGTCTGAGACCAGGCCCAGCTCCTGAGAGCTGAACCCACAGGGAGGAAGCAGGGTCTAACACCAAGTGTCAGGAGGGGCTGCCCACCAGCAGGTCACAGACATCAGGGGAGACTGGATGCGAAAGTCCTGCGGGCTGGTCTGATTCCTGGGTTAATTTCACTTTTTTTGGAAACCACAGTTACGGGTGAGATAAATAGGGACAAGGGTGGGAAGGCCGGAGAGACCCAGAGAAAACAAGAGAGCAGGAAAGAGACAGAAAGGAGGAACCGGGACGGGAAAGGAAGGATGCTGCGGGTGGGGCGCTGGGGACAGAAGCGGGCGCGGGGCGGTCGAGCCT